ATGCAAGCACAAGCCATCTCATGCATGTTCAAATACACACATATTTGGTATGATCCATTTCTAATCACACACATTCATTTCTAACACTGTATTCTTGCACGTGTAGTTACAGCAGATCTTTTGCTACTTTGCTAATCTCCTGGCATGTTCAAAGCCTAAAAATTAGTTGTTTCTCCCATCAGCCACTCCCCCAGTGTTACTGTCCCAAAACGGTCAAAAGCAAACACTGAAACAATTCCAAGCCCAGAGCTTTCTTATTGTCGGAAATTCTGCTAAAACACACAACACCTTGTTCATTGTTGAAAATGCCTTCACTGGTCACACCACAGCACAGCAGGATGACCCAGGTGGCTGCCCCATGAGAAACATCCAATAGAGACTCACAATGAAATAAATTCAACTTTTTTTTTTAAAAGCAAAGACAATGCGGATTTGTACAGCGAGGGGAAATGCTGGCAGGGAATAAGCAAAGAAACACTGTTGTCTTTCTGAAAACCTTTTCTAATTTGGCCATTTGAAACAGCTCCACCTTGACTTTTCCAGTCATTGTATCTTCATACCAACTAGCTGACTTTGAATGATCTTGAAAACAGCAGGAGTGGACCCAGTTACTATTTGGAAGGGAGATTATGAAGAAATTCTTGGTCTGTGGACTAGATTGAGAAGTTGAAAACAATGCTTGAAGAAGGCAGTGGCAGACTATTTCCACACTGCTGTCAAGAAAACCAGAGATGTATTTTTGCCTAGGAGCAAAAGTCTACAATTTACTTGAGAGTGCATGTTGACTTTCGCTGAATACTTTTCCCAATAATATTTCCAAAACACACTAATACAAAGTAGACCAAACCAGCAAATAATGCCTCTATGAACGAAACTAGCATGTCAGGGAGAAGGTCTTGAACGGGTGATTGGATAAATTCTGGGGGGGATACAGATATAAATGGCTATAAAGTATGAAGGAGAGACTTCACACAAACACACTCTCACACTAAGTCAAAAGGACCTTCGAAAGGGGTACATATGTCCTATCTATATGGAGTTCCCATAGCCTCTACTTCCAAGAAGGAGAGGCATATGACCTAATCCAGTACAGTCATTCTTCTTTAAAATTTATTTTTTTAAAAAATAAATTTGGTATCTAGTTTTTCATAAGCATGGCAAATTTTGGAAGGTATGAGAACACATCCAACCTCATGAATAGAACCTATCTATTGTGGCCAAGCCCCAAATTTACCATTGGAATAAGTATTTATTCAGCAGGTTACAACACATTCAAGGAAAATCCATAAGGCCATATAGTATTTTAGGCATTTGCAGCATATTAAGCAATGCTTTAAGAATTCTGTAACAAGGAAAATTATTCAGTAGCTTTATAACCACATCTGTGATGGGTTAGGGATACCCAGATTAAATTGTACAATATGAAAACAGAGATATTTCATAGACTTTGCAAACGTGTTTAATGGAGGGTATTTTAAAGCTTTAGTGTTACGTGGACAACATAAGGGGGCAGGGGGGAGAAACATCAGAACATTGGACATATGTCTAGATCACCACATCAGCAATGAGTCACTACGGTAAGTGCCACTGCAAAGGCACCCTTTGGGTTACATCCATACCCACTACTTATGTGCCTATTTCCATGCTTGTCCAGAGTCCATTAAGCTTTTAATGCCCCACAGAGATTTATGCACCCTATACACAGGGAAGCATGCTATTTACAAAATAATAAGATATTGTTTTATTTAATGCTGCATCTAGAATTAATGAAATTGATTTCCAAACAGGTTAGAACGGTTACCAAAACCTAAAAATCATAGTGGCTCACCTCTCCCCCCCCTCCCCCCCCTTTTCATAAAGATATAGAAGGGATTGTTAATAGTCAGGGAAGAGAGATGTATGTGTCAGAAAGTAGATGGATGAGAACACGAATATATGTTTGCACTAGCCAAAAGGAACAAAATTTAAGCAGAAGTCTCAAATTTATTTCTGCATTAATAAAATGTATTACTATTAACTGAACCTTTCTATAATTGGAAAAAGATAATAATATAGTTGTCTCAAATGGTAAAATCAATTTATATTGCACATAAGCTCTAAAAGTCTTGAAAATTCACTGACTACATATTACAAGGGGAACAGCCATGAATGTTGGCATTGTTCCACTAAAATCACCGCTCTGCAAACAAACATGAATGTTTGAGCTATATAACATTTACTGTACCAAACCAAAAGTAAACGGCATTGCTAGAAAACTCAGACTCACAAGTCAATGAGAAAAAAGGTCCCTTTTTTTTCCTAGCAACGCCGTAGAAAAAAATTCATTTCACTGGATTTTCAGAAAATAGGACCTTTTATAATAAACTATGTAATTTTGTAGCAAACGGTGGTTCGTCGAACAAGCCACCATGACTTGCTTTCCACACACAGCTAAGTCATAAACTGCAGTTTACGATCCTTCATTTGAAGCCAAAATACCACCATGACTTTGCATGATATATAAATCGAGCTACAATGGCTGGAGGTGCTCTCAGGTTTCAACAGGTCTTTCCAAAAGGAATGCAATGTACAGTCTGGATTAAAAGTGCAAGATGGGCTTAACTTGGAAATGGGCAAGTTAGCGAAACAGAAGTCAGTTATCAATTTTTTTTAGTTTTTTCATCTTGCCTTTATTATTTTTATAAATAAAATAGTTCAAGACGGCAAATATACCCAAAAAAGATAGACCCCAACTTACAACAGTTCATTTAGTGTCTGTTCAAAGTTACAATGACACTGAAAAGGTGACTTATGACTGTTTTTCACATGACCACTGCAGCATCTCCATGGCCACGTGAACAAAATTCAGACGCTTGGCAATTGACTCGTATTTATGACGGTTGCAGTGTTCCGGGGTCATGTGATCACCTTTTGCGACCTTTGACAAATAAAGTCAATTGGAAGACAGATTCACTAAACAGCCGTGTTACTAACTGCAGTGATGCAAGAAAAGACCTAAAAGGGGGCAAAATTCACTTAACTGTTCTCGCTTAGCAACAGAAATCTTGGGCTCAATTGTGATTGTAAATCGAGGACTATGACTTCCTCCTACCATATATTCCCCACAACAAGGACTTTATGAGGTGGGTTGGGTCGAGAGTGTGTGACTGGACCAAAGTCACCCAGCCAGTTTTCATGCCTATGAAGGGACTAGAACTCACAGTCCTCTGGTTTCTACCCTAATGCAATAACCACTAGGCCAAATTAGCCAAATTAATTTTAGCCTGAATAGCCCTAGGATTGCATGCGATACAGTAGATCCTGTTTCAGCAAGTGGAAGCATCTGAATCCCTTGTCTGGGGTTGGGAAAATATGGTTGGGATTGGTTGAGACTCTGATGTTGTTGTTGTTAATTGCGAAGTCGTGTCCGACCCATCGCGACCCCATGGACAATGTTCCTCCAGGTCTTCCTGTCCTCTACCATCTTCTGGAGTCCATTTAAGTTCACACCTACTGCTTCAGTGACTCCATCCAGCCATCTGATGGGGACTACCTAAAAACTCCAGGGGTGTAGGCTTCACTGAGAAATTGAACGACTCCCAAAGAAGGCAACGATAAATTACTTCTACTATATGTTTATATATTAATATAATATAATAAATATAATATAATATAATAATAATATAATATATAAATACAATATAATATATAATATCATATCATATATATATTTAGCACATATGTGTGTGTGTGTGTGTGTGTGTGTCTGTGCGCTAAATTTTTGGATTGCTAACAAAGATTTCTTCTTCCCATATTTGGGGCAACAGGTGCATCAAAAAACAAACGAACAAAAAAACTCAAGACATATGTATGTATGTATGTATGTATGTATGTATACACACACACACAAATATATATAAAAATAAAAAACACCCTCTCTGTGAAGGCACCAGGAATAAATCTCGCCTTGAAGGAGACTTGACTTATTACTAGTCAGAGATGGCTGCTTCCCATTTAAGAGGGAAGCCTCATATTCGGCATCTAATATAGGATAAGTATCTATCTTGGGTTTGTGGCAGACTGGATCAGCTGTTGTATTAAAACAAATGTTGGCCTGGATCCAGCATAAATGACTACCCTTAGTCATACTAAAATGAATAAGACTTAAATTGGTCATAGACTATTTTTCTCAGATTTTAGAAAGGCTCTTAAACTTACTATGAATCTGCCTCTTAACGTCAGTGAACACTGAACACTGCAACTGGATTTGCAACATGGACTGATTCCTCAAAATAGTAGCAAAAATCTGATTATTATGAACAGGTGCATATAAAAAGGTCCATTTTCATAATATCAAATCAAACCTTGCGAACTAATGCAGAAAGCAGATAGGACAGACTTGCGACTGAATAAAGGCAAAACTGCCATAACTGGAGAAAACATGGTGCATTTATACCTGCCAAACATACATATGTGCATATATGCAGCAATAAAATAGAATAAAATGCTACATCAGCTTTTCTACAAGTGAGTATTTTGCAAAGCTAGATTAGCTACTAAACTGTGTCTCCATTTCTGGTATCTCTTGCTTTAAAAAAAATAAATTAGTTTATATTAAAATCTAGATTAAACAATTAAAATTGCCTGCATTTTACACACTGCATTTGTGTGAACAAAATTGTCATGTTAAGCAAACTAATCGTATTAACCTTAATGAACTCATAACAATATTTAATTGATAGCCATTTCTAGAAAGGGCTGAGGTATATTTAGGCCTCTACCAATTAATTACCTAAGCCTTACATTATAAATATTTTAAAAGTTGGCAAAGAAAAAAAACCCTTCATTTTTGTGAAGATAATCAATGTCAAGATACAGTTCAATATTAGGAAAGCCTTCTATATCCTGGTCAGGCAAAGGAAATAATAATCTTCAACAAAAACACAGAAATGGGCAGATCTATGATGGAGTAAGTAAGGCCAGCTACATCTGAGTGGCAAATAAGATTTTTGTTCACTTACCTCCTGAGGAGCAACAGGTTCTAAACCCAGAACATGATGGATGGCAGTTGTTTCTGAACATCTAGAATTAGATAGCCAAGAGGTAGATCAAGCTCGATTGGTAAATTTCTAAGCAATTTGCAGCAGATCACCAAAGATTTCTGATTCCCGTTAGATTAGAAATTGAATGTGGTTATTATTATTTTTTTAAGTACTCTGCCACAGATGACCATATGCTGCTCATCACGTCAATTCACTGCCGCGGTATTCAACCATTTTAGCATTTGGTGTCAGAAATTGGGACATGTAGAACATCTGTAGTCTTGAATGCAGAAGCTGATGGAAGTTGTGTGTAGGATGTGATTGTCTCCATTCCCAAGCCACACTTTTATACTTGTCTCTGGTTGATGGATTTCTATTAAAACAACAATAACAACAACAACAACAAAGATTCCCAGAAGCCTGAGACAACTCAGCCCAATACAGAAGCACATCTGGTCCTGGTTTACAGTTTTCTTTTCCCCTCTAGCTTTTAAGGAGTGAGATCTCATCTTGGCACCAGTTATATTCACAATGAACAATACATGCTTTCTTTCCCTCATTTTGTTACTGGCTCGAGATGAGATAAGCACAGAACAATGATACAGATTTGCTCAGCTGCTACTAAAAATGTGTCCTTCGAGGAAGCTGAGCTGTGATGCTCAGTGCATTGTTTTTATACCACTGCTATAAATCTATAGACATTTCATCTGAGAAACAGATTTATTTTTAAGCCAGCATCTAAAAGCTTACCCCCCTGGTCTAACACGCTCAGTGTTAGTGAATCAAACTCAAGTTTGATTACTTTATTGCATTTAGAATTCATTCCACTTAAGACGAATAAACCTGACCCGTCAACAGAACAGGGCTGCATAATTTTTGAGAACTGCAGGTAGACCTCAATTTATAACCACAATTGTGCCCAAAATTCCCACTGCTAAGTGAGGCAGTTGTTGAGTTGTGCCCCATTTTACAATCTTTCTTGCCACTGCTGTTAAGTGAATCACTGCAGTTGTTAAGTAAATAACACGGTGGTTAAGAGACTTTGGCTTCCCCACTGACTTTGCTTGTCAGGTCACAAAAGGTGATCACATGACCCTGGGACAGTGCAACCATCATATATATCAGCTAGTTGCCAAGCTTCTGAACTTTGATCACGTGATCATGGAGGTGCTGTAATGGTCGTTAAGTGTGAAAAACAGTATGCGTCACTTTTTTCAACACCGTTGTAACTTTGAACGGTCACTATATGAATGGTTGCAAACTGAGGACTACCTGTACACATTTAGCTTTTCCGTATTTGGCTTCACAATGCAAGTAGGAAATGAAATATAAGGCAAATGAGCATGCTGGTCCCACCGATTCCAATGAAATTATGGTACAATTGTCTAACAACCTTGGAAGCGTTGGCATCCAACATACACATGCTGAAAGTGGCACAGATTGCTACGCTGTGTGTGTGCGCCTACAAGCACTGAGAGGGCACCAAGTGAGCAGGGCCTGTTGCTCCATCTGAAGCTTGTTTTTCAGTGCAGAAAAGCTGCTTTAGCTTCCTGGATGCCTCCCTACCCAGATGGGAGCCACCTGCTGCTCCTTCTGCAAGGACAGATTGGGCAGCCAAAGGTAGCAAACTTGGCTTCAATCTCAAATGATACGAAGTTGGTCGGAAATAGATCATTTCTGGGACAGAAAAAAGGCAAGGCCGATCAGAGCAACGTCCACCTTCCCAAATATCTATTGAGAACGCAGGTGGTCCTTGACTTAAGGTCACAACTGGGCCCCAAATTTTCACTGCTAAGCAAGACGGTTGCTAAATGAGCTTTGCCCCTGTTTTATGATCCTTTTTCCGCTGTTAAGCAAATCGCGGCAATTGTTAAGTGAATCGTGGGGTCGTTAAGCGAATCTGGCTTTTCCTCTTGACTCTGCTGTATTGGAAGCCTGCTGGGAAGATGGCAAATGGTGATCACATGACCCCAGGACAATGCAACCGTCATAAATACATGCCAGTTGCCAAACACCCAAATTCTGATCATGTGACTGTAGGGATGCTGCAATGGTCATAAGAGTAAAAACCGATCATAAGTCATTTCTTTTCAGCGCCAATGTAACTTCAAACAGTCACTAAACGAATGGCTGTAAGTTGAGGACTAGCTGTAGATATCCCATCTCCCACAATCTCCTCCTGATCCATATTCTAACTAAAGACTCTTCCTTCTTGAGCTTATTGCCCACCCGAGAGGAGGCTTCTATAACTAACCACCAAACAAAAGGGACTTGAGGTAAATAAGTCATCCTTTCTGTAATTCCCAGCTTTCTCTCTTTACACACAATGCAAGATAAGGTCTGTGTTGCTTTCTTGCAATCATAAAAATTGAGTGTCAACGAGCTGATTTGTGTATTCAAGCTCACATTGAAAGCCTATGTGTTGTCCACCAGTCCCAGAAGCCACATCACAATACTAATTGCCCAAAGAAAAGAACCACTGCAAAGAACTGCTATTTTCCTGCCAATCCTGGTAAATTAGATATCACGCCTCTGAAAAGTAGTCACCGATCAACTTTGTAATCACATCCCTGCAAAGAAAAGCAAATAATCTGTTTTCCATCCATATTAGGGTTTGCATGTGATCATTCTAGTTCCTGGCTCTGCATTTTTTAAACAATCTGTATAAAAATTGATACATATACCCAGTAGTGGGATTCATATATGTGAACAACCGGTTCTCTATGTGGATGCTGCTTCTGGAAGTCCATTCTGGGCCTGGGCAACAAAAAATTAGCTACCGGTTCTGCCAGAGTGGTGTGAACCGGCTGAATTCCACCACTACATATATTGAAATGCATAATTTTAGAACATTTTTTTCTTCACAGAATACAGCAGTCTAGGTTTATTAAAATGCACTTATTTACTTTAAAATGTATTTCATTGTAAATTATGGGTACCAAATGCATGTTGCTCTGCTTTTTGATTTGCCAAGTTCTGAAAAATGATACTTTATTCTGTACATAAATCAAAGACATGCACTGTAATTCATAAAGATCATAAAATATCGCTATATATCAGTTTGCCACAAACTTAAGTCTTTCAGCGTGAATCTGGATACCAATGACTGCTTTATGAACTCCCAACACATCTGGAGGGCATTTGGTTGGGAAAGCAGATATAATTGATATTTTGATTGCAAGTTATCAATTTATTAATATGTGGTACCAAAAGTGATAAGGGACAGCTTGTAGAAAGTGTAACTAAATATAAAGAGTTAGAACTATGCCAAATTTGTAGGTCCTTTTGAATAAGCAATTCAAAGCAAGAGTAGCATGAAAAGCAAATGTATCCTGGGAGTTGTTTATGAAAATGATGAATGGATTTGTCTATTTTAAATTGGCTTCAATTACCCTTACTTCCTCCTACTGTAAAATCTATTGAATTGCAAAGAAGAGTGATCTCATCCTCATTCCACACAAACTCATTCGAGATATTCTATATGATGATTAAATGGAAAGACACAATAATGAAAATGGTTGAATGTTGCCAATTCCATAGCAATGAGAAGCAATAAAGGCTGAAATCTGGGGGAAAAGGCAAGGTAAACATAGCCTCACTCATTCAGATAGACATGCTTTCCAGTAAACTACTGTATACTCTGTAGCACAATTGGTATAGTGCAGTGGTAGCGAACCTATGGCACGCGTGCCAGAGGCGGTACTCAGAGCCCTCTCTGTGGGCACGCGTGCCATGGCCCGGAGATGGCAACCATCCCTCTTCAACCAGCTGCCTGCTAACTCGCCGAGGTCCCACGTGGCCGGATGCATCCCAGCATGGCTGGTTCCCCCCCCCCATCCCATCCCTCCTAGCCTTGCATGCTCTCCTTTTCCTGGGCACGACTCACTGCATCACCTCCTCAGCTGTCGGTCAGCCTTCCAGCTCAGAGGCGGCTTCTCTGAACTGCTGGCGGTGGGCTGCGGAGCCCCAGAGTGCACCGGTCGAGGGGCCAGAAGGCTGTGGCTGCTGATGGACACTGTTGGCCCCCATGCACTCGCTGGCCTCTGTGTGTGGGGGTCGATAGTGTCAGGCAGCAGCCTCCCCGGCCCGACTTGCCTTACCCTGCAACAATGGCACCTCTGCCCTGCCACGTATTGCCTCACAGGATGAGCCTTCTGCCCACTGCCCCACCTGCCAGAGACCCCCTGAATCTCTCCCAATCCTGCCTGGCCCCCACAGGCGTCCTTCCCCATGAGCAACATTGAGGTGACCATGCCCACCTTGGCCACACCCACCCAGTCTGCCATGACCACCACAGCCATGCCCACCCAGTGGGCCATGCCCATCTGGCACCTGGTGATAAATAAGTGGGTTTTGGTTTGCAGTTTGGGCACTCAGTCTCTAAAAGGTTTGCCATCACTGGTATAGTGGTTAAAGTGTTGGACTAGGTCTGGGGGAGATCCAGGAGCATCTAAAGCAGCACCAAAGTGTCATGGCAAGATAACTGAAGCCCTACCCCTTTTTAACATCCATGTGATATGTGACATGGATGTTAAAAAGAGGCAGCCACATTATTATGCTGTTGATGTCAACGCTGCTAACATCGGATGTTCTTGCTTTGACAACAGATGAAAATGCAGCCATTTTCCTCTATGCTTTTAGAATTAGCTGGTGCTGGGAGGGGGGTTTGGAATGAGAGTTCAGTTAGTCATAATAATAATAACTCTGCCATGGGAATCAAAGGACAAACTGGGTCCAGAATTGATAAAGTTTTGGCAGGCTGGAGAGCTGGGGAGAAAGCCCATGCTTCAAGCTAATTGGGGAATGTGCTTTATGACCGTTTATTGGGGATGGGAATTGTACTTTGTTACTTTGTACCCAGGGGAGAGGAATTTAGTTTTTTGGTTCAACTATGTAGTACCAATGCTTTGTTTCCCGAATAAAAGATTCTTTAAGGAAAACAATACCTCGAAATTCTTTTGAAGGGTTTCATCTGTCGGAACCATGATAGTTGATGTCTTCTGCAGATGCCCTGACCAGGTTCCACCCCATATTCAGGCACAGAATTCAATAGGTGACTTTGGGCCAGCCAGTCCTGCACTGGGATCAATCATAGGCATAGATAAGATTGCAATGCCCAGAACGCTTAGTTAGAATTGAGTCACACTGACCACTAGGACATGCTTCTGAATTGCCTGGATTGCTGTATACATATGTCTTCCTCTTGATCCAGAATCGAGCGGATTAGTCGGTCTTCATCTTGTATAACCAATACCATGTGCTTGTAAAAACCACTGTGATATAAAAGAGCTGTGATTATAATTTGGGAAACCAGAAATGAAATTGTAGTCATGGGTCAACCTTTTCTTACTAATTATGTCGCTGTTTATATTATACTTACATACAAATGTGCACTTTATCACTTCCCGAAGTTGACAGCCGGCACATTTTGCTTTTTTGGTCTCCTCTCATATGGAAAATGTTATGAAATATTTATTCTCAGTTGTCCCTTCTTTGAGAACATGCACTTTGCTTTTTAATGCAGTTATTCTGCTAAGACCAATAAAAAGCCCACACAAAAGCAAACCAAATTTTCAATCATTCAGCAGAGCTGAACAAACGTCTCCTCAATATCCTTCTCAGATCTCCTCCAAACCCAATCAAGCATTCAGTTACAAAAAGTCAAAGTGGGCTTGAACATATTTAAAACATATACTAACCAGAGCACTTTGCACACGTCATAAAGACCTAAATTAAAATAGGAATTCCTGTCTCCCAATGCTCACTTTTGGGTTTTCCTTCCCCACAACAACTAATTTTTGCTGTCTGTTCTGGATGCACATGCAAAATGTGTTGTGGTTTGTCCCTGGAAGGAGAAGCCCAATCACACAAGTGCTTGTGTTGTCTCAAAGGGGCTTTTTTCCAAAATGGCAACTGGACGTTCCTTGCTGTTTTTTTTTTCTTTGAAAACGTTTCGCTTCTCATTCAAGAACTGAAGAAGCTTCTTGGATTGAGAAGCAAAATGTTTTCAAAGAAAAAACCCAAGAAAGTCCAGTTGCCTTTTGGAAAAAAGTACCTTTGGCACAACCATTACCTGGATGATTGAGAATCTCCATAGATACAGTAAGTGCTTGAGTTTTGAAGCCAAAATGGCAACCCCCACCCCAAGGAGGAGGTTAACAGGAGGAAAGGGAAGAAACATTAAGAGAGGAGAAATGCTAAACAACAAAAAAAGAGCCCAATGAGAACCAAGTACCATGTGAATAATAGATGAAAGAAAACAAAAACTTCAATAACAACAACAACCTTAGAAAGCTGTAGAAGAAGAAATAGAACAAGAATAAGTGGGATTCTGAAGAAAAAAGTATTCCCTCCCTTTTTCTCATATGCTCCATTCATTAAATTCTATTTAAAATATGACATGTTAGTGGTGGCTCGCATCTATTACTATTTGCTACTAAGTATCAACACAGTGGTTTCGTGGGGAAAAACACATTTTATCTGCACACTGCACACAACTCTTTCCCCATGAGACTCTGGTCATCTAAGAACATAAAACTATAAAACGGTAAGTATACAAAAAGGTGTGAAGAGCCAACATTACTCTTGTACACACATGGGTCTACTACAAGATCCAATTGGTTCAATTTCCACATTAAATGTTGCCAGCTTTTTAAGCATATGGACCAAATTTAGCAAGTTAAGGTTAAGCTAGTACTTTATGGTGGTTATTTTGCTTGCCTGGAATAATATGCTTCAGCTTCGGATCTCAGCAACATATCAGAGAGATCTATTATATAAGTTTAGGCCCTAAAATACTGATGTTATTGCCCACTAAAATTCTGTATAATTGGCTCTGGCCTCATTGAAGAAAGAAAAAAGAAAGGGAAGGGGAAAGGGAAGGGGAAAGGGAAGGGGAAGGGGAAGGGGAAGGAAAGGGAAGGAATCATTCCAAAAAGAGTGGATGTAAAGTAGTATATAAATTGTATACTATGTGCTAATGTATACATATATAGATACCTATTTTAAAATCTAACTTAAACAGAGGCAATATACATTCACTATTATGGGAAATGCTGTGACAGATGCCTGCTCACCCTGCTGTTAGATGTGTCTAGGACAGATGGCTTCCGCTTGTACATCTTTATCATCTGTGAAGAAACCCTTCAGAAAAAGGAAATCATCAAATAACTTCTCACTGTAAAGTAGGATACATGGCTACTCTAAATTCGTTTCCTTGTTGCAAACTCTCTACGCCCTTGTATCAATACTGATCCCAAAACAGGAACGGGCTGTTTCATTCAGGTTTTTCCATCCTTAATTATCCCCAAGATAGAATGGCAATACTATATCTATCTGATGAAAACTTGTCAAATCAGCCTCACCCGTTTTTTATATTTATGCTTGAAAGCTAGGAAGATGTGGATGAAGAAGCTGGAACCAAAAATGGGAATTTCCCTTTCCCCCTGTTTTGGTAAGGTATGATGGGAAGGAGGAGGGTTGAATGGTAACAGAGAACAAAGCAGGAATTGGTTCTTGTTTAGGAGCCATGTTCAAGAACATAAGTGGACAGGCCTTGTTCAATTCCTGTGGCACCCAGAATAGCCAGGGAGAAAAAGGGACCTTTCTCAGAGAGGCTTAGTTATGGATGGCCTAGGCCAGGGGTAGGCAAACTCGGCTCTTTTATGACTCATGGACTTCAACTCCCAGAATTCCTGAACCAGCCATGCTGGCTCAGGAATTCTGGGAGTTGAGGTCCACGAGTCATAAAAGAGCCAAGGTTGCCTACCCCTGGCCTAGTACAATATTCATAATCTTCAAGGATGTATTCAAATCACGAACTGTCAGATTGTCAGGAGAAAGCCATCCCATCAACTCTTGGATGGAATTAAAAGTAGCATATAGATTTTTTTCTTCTTTGGATCAATTTATACCACTGATGTGTCAAGCACCAGGGAAATTAGAAGATCCAGACAGTTGAAATGGGTATAAAGATTTATTGCAAGCTTAAGCTCTCCACAAGAACCTGAACTACTAACGGTCAAAAGAATTTGGTGGTAGATAAGAGTCAATGGAATTCAAGATGGGCTGAACTTAGACCTCTGTGAATGCGAAGGGACTCATGACTGATGACATGTTTGATCCCTCCCTCAGGCTCAGCCTGGTCATCACCTACAGATGAATCTAAAAAAACCGGCATCTAATGGTTAAATCTTATCCTTCCTGGTTCTTTTCAAAGATAACAGACTGTAACATTCATAGTCCTCAGCCTGTCTAAAAATAATGGGAATTTCAGTCCAATAAATGTAGAAGGAGAATACCCAGGCTAAGGATAGTTAAGTTGTAGGAAGGCATGTGAATCTTTCCGTATGGTTTGCATTTGAAACATTCAAAAGGTTTTTAGGAGCCAGAATTCATTACCAGCAGTTGATAATTCAATTTTCCATTTCAGCTTAATAAAAATTTTCAGTGCCAATCCAGTAAAAAAAATAAGTCTCTTATTTAGGAATCTTCTGCTGCTAAACCCAGCACCTCACACTTTGTGGCAATTTTTTAATAGGCAACTGAGAAATAATTAGCCACAAGTATTTTAAAGAATCTGTAAATGCTCAAATTATAATGCAATATGTCTTTGCTGAAATTGTTTGGGTTATTAATGTTTGTGGTATTTTTGATTCTGAGTATTTTCCTTACCAATATAAAGATGAATAGTATCAATAGAGAAATAAATGCTGTGCCACTTAACAAATATTTAATAAGCAACTTAAAATATGAGTCTAAGAAAGTCATAAAGCTTTTTTGACATTGGACAGGCATTTATTATTCAGATATTTATTTGTTCAATTTGTATGGCTGCCCATTTCAAACAAATGACTCTGGCTAGCAATCAGTCATAAAAGCAATTAAAACCAATTACATTCACAATACAAAAAGAAAAATTTAATACACATAGCAGGCAAATTATTATAATCCATAGATCAGTGGTTCTCCACCTTTTTAATGCCGCGACCCCCAACCGGTCGTAAGTCGAGGACTACTCAACCAGTTGTAAGTCGAGGACTACTCAACTGGTGCAGCACCGTTTGCAGAATGGGACTTTTGGCGGGCTCAGCAGGGGAGAGACAGCCTGGACAATTCCTATTGGCTTTTGAAAGCCAATAGAATTAGACTCTATTCAAGAGAGTTTATTCTATTGGCTTTCAAAAGCCAATAGAATAAAAGGGAGTAGCACAGCTAAGGAAAAGGGGGAAAAAATGGCGGACTGCGTTATTTGGTGACCCCCCGTGAAATGGTCGTTCGACCCCAAATGGGGTCCCGACCCACAGGTTGAGAACCACTGCCACAGATACCGGAATAATGTTATAGTTTTCAGAGTGATAATACCACTTCTTTATATATATCAGTTTTTCCATATTGAAGGGACTAAGGTTTCAAATAAAAATCCTAGAATATGGGGGCATTCCATCACCAAGAACAAAGGCAAGTGCTCAGCTCTTGTGACAGCTGTTAACCAGATCTCTTAAGAGAAAAGCAAATATTGAATACTGGCTTCAGCAAATTGCGTTGAAAGGGAGAAACGGGGTATCAGTCCATGTGCGATTGAATTAGTGGCTCATGTGTTATTGTACTATTTATATTATAGAGATCTACGATTAGCAGGTATTATATAAGACTCCAAGGACAGAGAAACACTGTATACTTTTCTTATTATGAAACCAGTGGCTAGAAACAGTGGAGAAAGTGGGGAAATTCTGCATCACAGCATGTGTAATCTGTAAAGCACATATTTGCATATACAAATAGTCTTGACTTACGTCCACAATTGGGCCCCAGATTTTGGTTGCTAAGTGAGACAGTTGTTAAGTGAATTTTGCTCCATTTCATGACCTTTCTTGCCACAGTTATTAAGTGAATCAATACAGTTGTTAAGTTAGTAACATGGTTGTTAAGTAAATCTGGCTTTCCCACTGGACTTTGCTGATCAGAAAGTCACAAAAGGTGACCACATGACGCCGGGACACAGTAACTGTCATAAATATGAACTAGTTGCCGAGCGTCCAAATTTTGATCATGTGACCATGGGGATGCTGCAACGGTCGTAACTGTGAAATGTGGTCACAGGTCACTTTTTTCAGTGTCGTTTTAACTTCGAACAGGTCACTAAATGAACTGTTGAAAATCGAGGACTACATACTGTATACCAGGGGTAGGCAACCTTGGCTCTTTTATGACTCGCGGCTGGCTCAGGAATTCTGGGAGTTGAAGCCCACAAGTCATACAAGAGTCAAGGTTGCCTCCCCCTGACCTATATGTATACTATATACTGCATATATACAGTATATACTGCATATACATATTCTCAAATCATTTTTTATTTGGGCTTTTTACGCAGACTGACATGTAATCTTCAGGCGCCAAGCACCAGCTCCTGATGATTAAATGAACACATCTGCAGAGTTTCTGGCAGCAATCCGTAAGTGTTTTGCTATTCTTCCAGGATCCTTTTTTGACTCCCTAGTCTAGTTTAGAGCCATGGAATTTCATGGGGGTCTCCAGCCAACCGCTGAGCAAGGTTGACCATGCTTAGTTTCCAAATAAGGACAAGATGGGTCATATGCTGCCCCTCCTGCCAAGACTGTATTGATCAATGTTCATACTATCTAAGCTGAATGGACAATTCTGGAGTGATTTAGAGTTTCCTACGAAACATACTGAAGATGGGTTACAATAAAGCTTTGGGATAAAAACGCCCTGGCTGGATGATCTTGGGCCGGTCACTCTCTCTCAGCCCAACCCACCTTACAGGCCTGTTGTGGGGAAAATAGGAGGAAGAAGGAGTTGCTTAAATGACCATAGGCACCCTTGAGTTACTTATAAAAAAAATTTAATAAAGTGGGATAAAAAGAAATCTGAACAAACAAATGCTGATGACTCCCAATTCATTATACTAGATCCGGGGTAGGGCAACCTTGGCTCTTTTATGACTCGTGGACTCCAACTCCCAGAATTCCTGAGCCATGCTGGCTCAGGAATTCTGGGAGTTGAAGTCCACGTGTCATAAAAGAGCCAAGGTTGCCTACCCCTGTACTAGATGGATTACCTCCTAATGCTATTGCTGGCGAACAGGAATACAAAAGTACTATTGCTCTTGTATCCTGTTCATAGATTTCCTTTCTACACATCAATCTGGCCCCAGGACACTACACTAGACAGTGCTTTTGGTCTTCCTGAACACAGCATTGTTTAAGTTCTTTTGACATAATTTAGAGTAAGTGAGGTCTATCAGGGAAGGCAGAGAAGTAGAGAAAAGGCAATGTGAATAAACAGTGACACATTGTCATAAGCCGTGTCCAAAACCATTAAAAGAAGTTCTTCTTCAATGTGTCTGAAAATACTTCTCAGAGAGTTTTGGCGCAGTCACAGTTTATACCAACTATTTTTGAAATATGAAGTAGAGTGAGTTCATCCATCACGTACTGTGAGGAGAAAAAAAAACATTACAGTGTAATCTGTATGCTAAAAATAATCAACATGAGATGACTTCCAGATATTTCTGGGCATACAATCCTCACCATTGCTTATATCAGCTGGGGCTGATAGGAGCAGAAGTCTAAAGAGAGTATGAGGTTGCCTATGCCATTCAGGGCTCTCGCTTCAAACCGTAAACCACCAAGATCTCATAATGCCATTTTTCTCAGTAATTATTATTGCAGCTTTCTTATTCTTGGTAATCATTGATATTTAAAGTCGATATAGGTTTTTCATAAATATAATGGTCTGATATATTAGGCTGGCCCACATGCCCCATGATAGAAGAAGGTCTCTTTCAAGTCAAGCTTGACTACTGGCAATTATATGGACAATTTAATTTTCTTCGCAAGATTTTTGGAAGTGGTTTGTCCTTGCCTTCTTCTTTCTAGGGCTGAGAGATAATTACTGGCCCAAACACTCCCAGCTGATTTTCTGTCTAAAATGGGACTAGAACGCACAGTTCCTTGAATTTTTAACTTGGAACCTTTACCATTACATCAAACTGGCTCTCCATCTCCCATATAGAAATGTAAACCTGTATAGGCAAACTATACGGTTACAAGTGAAGGAGGGACATGTAAGCTGATGATTACAGAGATAAACTGTCCCATTTTCATTTCCAGTTGCCTTGG